AAGAGAGAGAGAGTGTGTGTGTGTGTGTGTGAGAGAGAGAGAAATGCGAACAGAAAGAGAAAGAGTGGGATAGAGAGATAGAGAGTGTGTGGGTGAGAACATGTGTAGAGAAAGACAGAGAGAAAGAGATAGTGAGTAAGATGGGGTGAGAGTGAGAGAGAGAGAAAGAAGGATGGAGAAAGAGTGTGTGATAGAGAGAAAGAGAGAGAGTGAGACATTAATTGTTGTCTTAAAATAGCTCGCAAAAGAAAGTGTCTGGGACAACTGCTTACTCGTCTCGAACCAGAGATCATTTCTCAAAGGTCCAGACGTTAGTTTATCTTATTTCGTCTAGTGTAATACTAGATCTACGGTTCTTTTCTGTCTCTATTTTTTAAGATATCAATTACAACAAATGGTCGGAAGAAGTCGGGTTTGCAAACGAGACCGGAGAAACAAAATTTAAATATTCAGATTTAGTTTTATGGTGTTTTATGCTCAAATTGGGATTTTAAGGTGCGATGGTGGAAACGAGGAGGAAATCACATTTCTGTTGTAACTCGCCTTTCGTTTTTAATTTCGCAGTTTTCTTTCTTTTGGAAGTTGCTTTTGATTTTGTGCCTGGGATCTTTTCAACATCCTGTGCAAAGGTCATTTTTAATGGACACGGTCTTTTAAAAACATTTTAATGGTATTTCCCAAGGTTTTAGGGAAAGAAGCCGCCTCATCATTATTATTGACATTGAAACCAATGGTATTATTTTCTCTTGGAGAATTTGGAAATTTTTTTGTAATGTACTCGAAACTATGATGTTCCAAGGCTTTCCCTCTGTTTTCACCCAACACATGCAAAGAGGAAAACAGAATAATTTTATCGGAAATGTCAAAAGTCAGATTTGACGTCTTTGTCAAGTTTTGTTCGCTATCGTAATCGGTGAAAGTGGTAAAACTAGTAGCGGAATATATTCGGAAAAAAACCTGAAACACATGGAAATCAGAAAAACTATTTGCATATTATTATGTTGCGATCGAGGACGGAGTCATGGCCATGGGCATAGACTTGGGACTGGCCATGGTGGTCGCCTTCGATTCCAACCTCCTCCAACATCTTATCTTTTGGATTGTCCCCGGCAGTTAAAGAATTTATGGTTGTCGTAATCCCCGGATGGGTAAACCGGGAAACCAATAAGTTTTTGTTTTTTTAATAAAATAAAAAATTGAGCTTACAAAATATACATTACACACATAACAACATAATCAGGTACACTTGTACATTTCTGAACATCAATAGTGGAAAAAAAATTAAACCAAAAAAGTGAAACAAAAAAATATTCGGCATCAAAATTAAAACCTCATACACGACCTCTCGACTCGTTATGTTGTAGGTCGAGTGTAGGAACTTTCAGCAGTGCAGTCTTTTTCATTGCTGTTATGTCAAAAAAATACGATTTTTAATTAACAGAAAATAATAAGAAAATTGGCCATTATCGTTTGTATTACACGACTATTTTGATTTCAACGAGTGATATTGTTTGTGCTGTTTAATTAACCAATCGTTTAAGAAAATTAATACCAGGTTGACGTCTTAGTTGTATGTACATTCTCATAAATGCGTCATTCATTGTGCACGTGAAAATTAATCCTTGATTTGTTTTCTTACGATTGGCTTTTACGCTATAAGGCTAGCGATTGACGTTTCTACAAGCTGTCAACCTGCATTCCACGATTGACTTTTGGTTGTCTCAGTTACTTATGTCATGGCAATGCATATAACGAAACAATATCACACTGAAAATTACGAGTTGTCGTATCTAGCCTATTCTAGCACTTTTTTTTACGTCGGTAGTTCCATCAGTCATATTCTAGCACCTAATACAAAACAGTGCAGGTTTTAATATTCATATAATCTTTTTTAGTGCTGGAAATGTTATTATTGAGATTCTCTTTGTTTGCAGTTAAGAAATTTGTAGTTAATCGGTGGAGTGCCCAAAGTTCATATAAATTTGGCGTTTTATTGTTTCTAACGCGTATTTGCTTTGCTGTGTTTCTTGTAGAAAATCTAAGGTCCGGGACAAAAAGCCCACCCTAATATTTTGGGTATATGTTAAATTTTATAAATTAAAATAATTATAAATACTTATTTTTGGTAACATATTAAATGTATCTTGGGTGTTATCTACCAGTAAAGTATTACTCCCTGGAAATAACGGTAAATATTAATTTCGAGATGGGATAAAAAGATATCACATCTTCAGAATATTTTTATTAAAACTTAAAAAAAAATCACAAAACCAATAACAAAATTTTTTTTTTTTAAATATTTATTTATTACCATCTGTAAAAAATATATGTACATCTAATGAAATACAGTACATTTATCGTATAGGGAAGCCAGCAACCACTGTTACTCTCCAAGTTTTCTGAATAATTTGTTATTTACTAAGGTGGTTCGTAAGGAGGTCCCGGGTCCATCTCCGCTTCAGTCGCGCTACTGAATGGCAGAGGTGGGTAATGTTGGACGTGCATTGGGGCGATGGGTTTGGATGTGAGGATAGTTTTTCATGGAATGTGGAAAATTTTTGGGGGATTAGGTTTTTAACGAAAGGTATTTGGAGGCCATTGTGAAGGGTAGTGTTGGACCCATAGTAGGGAGCGTTGACAGTGGTTCTGAAGACTGGATGTTGGAAAATGTAGCGGTGCCCACAGTTCTAATCCTTATTTCCAAAACGGTTTCAGTAATGTTTTATATAGGTTAGTTTCCGATGCGTCTATTTAATACTTGTCTTTTAGTTCGTGTGTGTCAGTTCTAGGTTAGAAAAGAGTCGAGATATAACCCGAGATAGCGTACAGTCAGTTTTTGGGATAGGAGTATTATTGAGAAATATTGTATTCGGAGGGTAAAATTAATATGGGTGCATTTGCTTCCATTTATCTTAAGGCACCAGAATTTTTTTCATTTCCCTGTTCACCACACGTGTGCCTGGGGCTTCTCTGTGTAGTTGGGATATCTGAGGTAAAGATGAGGTATACGATTGGTCCGGGCACACTGCCCTGTGGCACTCCCGTTCCCAGAGGGCAATATTCGGACAAGTCCGATCTTTGGCAAACTCGGAAGAATAGTTGTGTTAGGTAGGAGCGAAGGATTAGTACAAGATAGATAATTGGAAGGACACGTTTTTATTTGTATAGGAGATGGCTCATGACCCGACTCTCGACGAGGGGGAAATGATGGAATGTTGTGCATTAAGATTTTTCTTGTGACTAACCACAAAGATCCATCGGGTGTAGATGTCTAACTGTAGACTTTTATTCATACTTTTAACGATTTCAAGTAAAGATTGCCTTACACTCGTATATTCTTCAACAAGAGCGGTTTGAAGTTCAACACTTGTCGGAGACAGCGAACGATGTCTAACCCGTCTCTTTAACATGTCCCATAAGTGTTCTATGGGATTCATGTCAGGAGAACGTGCTGGCCAATTCATTGTGGTAATCCCTACATCCTCCATGTAATGGGTGACAACTCGAGTTATATGCGGTCGAGCATTATCATGGATTAACACAGTTGTCCCCGATAAATGGAGCGAATGGGACCACAGCTTCCAGAAGCACATTCTCAATGCACCTCGGTGCAGCCACAGATACATGTGTATGATAATCAGTTCAATTCATCAACGTTGATTACACTCCCTACCAAAACTGACTGGTTTTTGAAAACACTGTGACTCTCGTATGGCACATGAAGTAAAGCGTTCTCCACGTTTTCTCCGGTCATCTGATTGTTACAAATTGGCACTCATCTGTGAAGAGAACAGCCCCACATTGTTCAAGTTTCCTAGCGAGATGATTTGCGAATGCCTCTCGAGTAGTAGTGAACCTGATGGATGTCTTAAGAGTAGGCTATTCTCACGAAGTCTTCTGATGACTGTTTTTTGATCTCATCCTTACATTACGGACCGTTTCGAGTTGACTACCTATCAAAGAAGCCTTTAAAGTGTTCCGTGTTGCGGAGCAATAACCGATCGTCCCTAGCCGTCGTACACTACCCTGGACGCTAAACGTCCATCATTGTCCAAAGCATCTGCCCGAGCAAGATACCGACTAAAACCACGATTTTAAGAAAAATAAATAAATTTTTTACTCAAACTTATGGTTTCATCAAAGAAAACAATTCAACCCAATCATTATATTCATATAATTATTAATTTGTTGGCGTAGAAAAAGTAAATGACCCCTTCGTTTGTATAATAACCAAAATAGTACACATTGGCAATATCTGACCTTGTACTTTTAAAAAATGTCTATATTTTTTTCTTAACTGTTGATTATTGTCATAACTATAAAATAAATTAGTAAGGAGTTTAGTATTAATTGTTATGACCATGATGTGACCTAACGAGTCTTTGAGCTAGTTGAGGACTTATTGTTTTACGACGCGACTATTCACGAAATATTGTTGAAAAATTCATGTCTTTTAATTAAATACGACTGGAAATTATTGTCAGCGACTTTTTTAGGAGAAGTAATTGTAATTCGATGCTCGATCTTTTGCTTATTTGGTTTTTAATTAAAAAAACTGCCCTTGCATCTGTTGAGGTGGCGTTAATTTTACCAGTTAGTTCATGCCATTTCAAGAATGTGAGAATATTTTGTGACTTCTGTTGAAAAAATCCAAGGTGTGGTACGAGGGAATTGGTAAAGCACACATAAGTTCAATTTTACCGATGAGACGACAACGCTTCAGTTTAGTTATCAAGGGAATGGAGCTCAATTTTGAAGCAACGGTTGAGTGTGTAAAATATACATTTAAACAATAAAAATAAATTATTAGGTCTTCAATTTCCACTTACAAAACGCCATTTATATAAATTTTTCGACATTTGACGGTACGATAACCGGTATAGGTGCATCCGGTTTAAGATAGCGAGATCTGAAGTGTGTCTGCGTGTACAAGAGATAAAACTGTTAAAATAGTTGGAAACAGATTGATCAGTAGCGATCAAACTTTTGACAAGGGTCGATCGTTTGTACCAAAGTCAAATTTTGAACTATTTTGAGGGCCCGTTGCATCAATCACGGTTTAAACTGGGCTCACTAGAATTTTGAACTACTTTGAGGGTTGATTCACGGCTGATTCAATCACGGTTTAAACTGGGTTCGCTGGAATCTGGTTCATAATTTGAACCAACATCAAAGAAAGAACCGTTGTACTTAACCTCTCGGCCTAATGATGCGCGACTTGATGAGTATAAATATGCAAGATAGAAAGCATTAAGTTCTATCGTAAAAGAAATATAAATTTCCGGACTTGTTGCTGATTGGAAAAGCCAAAGACAGAACTATGTACGTATTTAGTAGTCATAATTGACCGTATTAATTATTTTCAATTAATTATGCTTTTTATCTAAGGTCTTGGTTTAGATGAAAAAGCTAGAGTCACGAGCGGTATTCGAACCTATGATATAAGTATGCATTAAGAAAGCATTCAATAAGTTGCATGTCAAAAGTTGATCAATTTTTATTGAAACGTGGGAAACAAAACTGATTCAAATCGCTTTCAACTTTTGTCGATCAAAATCTTTAACAACATACAGGTTAACTTAGGAAATGAATGTAGCTTAATTCTAAACTAGGTTTACTCCATGATCATCTGCCGTTCAAAGTTGGATCAGGTTCCAGTCATCATTTGAACTCGATTAGGTACTATACTAAGTTTAAACCAAGTTGTTGCAACGGGTAATTGTGCTGAATTGATTGATTTATTGCCCAAAGTGAGAGAAGCTGAGAAATATATCGTTACAATCGACTTAATTGTGTTTTACAAATCTGATCACAAAACATTTTTAACACGGTCACAGCACTAACACTAATGCCAGCTCTGCATCTAGAGGATACATGCCATGAGAAACCAACCAATGCTCGGTACTCAGTGTGAGGGATTAAGGGGCAAGGAGGTTTCGAGACAATCGTCAAATACGGCGACGTGGAAGGTTTTCTGTATGGGAACGTGTAGATGTTTTGGTCGGGGTGTAATATACTACGCCCGTTAAGAGCTATTGTATCCCCCGTTCTATTCCTATAGCACACCGGTGAGTCCTATTTCATCAAGGAACTTGAATGGAAACATGTAGAGGGGGCTCGTGCAGTAGGATGGAGACTTTGGTGTGAGTGAACCCTTTGTGGTCGGGAACGGATCATTGGTTGGCAAAAGCTTTGACGGTTAGATGATTTGGCAGAACCCCGCAGTTCCACTCCGTATGTCCAAAGTGGTCGCAGAAAAGTAGGTTTCGAGGAAATAGTCAAATAGGTGGAGCGTTTTCGGTATGGAAACGTGTGGATGTAGATGATTTAGATGTTTTGGTCGGGGTGTAATATACTGCGCCCTTTAAGAGCTACTGTATCCCCCGTTTTGTGCCTACTGCACACCCATTAGTTTAGTTTTGTCAGTCATGACGGATTTCGATCTTAGAAGTCTTTATAGTGCCCAAATTTTATGTTAGGTTGTTGTCTCTTAAGTCTTGTACGGGGATTCCACGTCTGCTGATAGGTATAGTCCTAAGTATTTGACCTGAGGAAAATCGTATGTTTTTGTTGTTGATGTACAGTGAAGGGCAAGACTGTTGTTTCATTGTGAACATACACTGATTACATTTTTCTTCAAACAATCTTGTCCTCCACTTTTTGCACCAGTCTTAACTTAAGCTCAAGGAGTTCTTCGATGTGTAGTTTAAATATGATTTGAGTTCGAGGACAAAATTTGCGGTATCGTTCATGTAGGTGGTGATGATGGTATTGGGGTAGGTAGGCACCAGTATAAATGATATAAAGAATAGGACCAAGAATGCTCCCTTGGGGGACCCGGCTTGTATCTTCAGATAGATGTCGGTTAGATAGGATTTCAGAAATCATGTAATAAGGAGTGGGTAGGAAACGTTTAAATTTAGCTAGTTATACAGTTTTTTCATGTAATATGTAACATTAAAATGACGGTTGCTGCTATTAAGTGTTTAAAAATGTACGGAGAGTGTGGTTTATCAATAAAAACATTTGTTCTGTTAATGTATTTCAAGTCGTACCTGGCTCTGAAGATCTGTCTCGTAGAATAAAGCGAAGGAACACATGTACCCGACGCAACGCTATGCGACGCTACCCGACGCCTTGTCTCGTCTTGGTAGGTGTGCACATCTATGCGACGTCAAGCGCACGCCACGTACAGTCACACAGCGTGTAACGCAAATCAGTATCATAGTCGCAATGCCTCTTTTGTTCTTAATGCTTTATTTTGAGCAAAACCATGAAATAAATTGTTAGTTAAATTCATTATTATTGCTGAGGGGAGAATTGCTGAACCTACGACATAAGCCGTATGATCTCCTCACCCAACAGGAGTGTGAGTTATGTAATTACCGGGTGAAGGAAGACATATACCACTTTGTCGCGGAATGCCCCATTCTGTCCCCCTACCGTTTATCTGCGTTCGGCGAAAGAACCGTATCAATGGACAGATGCATCAGATTGCTCAACGGACCAGATTGGACAGACTTGGTGAATTATGCTAAAGCGGCCTGGGCCTATCGAAGGCTAATATTAAACGAATTTAATTAGTAATTCTTCTCTCTTCTTCTCTTTTACTCCCAATTTCTTTGCCTCCGCTCTTTCCCTTGATATTTGGTGTTTCTGTTTCTCCGGTCTCAGCTCCGCTCATTGATTTTTAATTCTCAGTTTTGTGTCCTTTTGATTTGGTATTTTGTTATAGATGTTACACTTAGCATAGATTTTGTTTAATGCATTTGTACGTTTATTTTACAGGATTAGTCAATAATTAATCCAAGCTCCGGCAGACGGTTACCTTGCCGTATTAAGTTTATTTTCTTGTTTGAATTATATGTAATTTTTCTTTTTTCTTCTTGTGTGCAATAAACTTATTATTATTATTATTATTATCATTATATAAAAAAAAATGGTATTCCGGTGTTTTGATCAATTTTAATATGAACCAAATTAACCGAGATCAAAAATGCAGTTTTTATTTTTTTTTTAATTAATTTTAATAGTTTGGTCGAAAATTGATCAAAACAGCGGAATATCTTTTTTTGATATAATGAATTTAACTAACAATTTATTACACGGTTTTGTTCGTAAATTTAACTAACAATTTATTTCATGGTTTTGCTCATAAAATTAGACCATTTTCGTCGAGTAGCGTCAGAACAGGACACTCGTATTTTTGGTACTTTATTTCAAACTATGTATATGTAATTTTGTCGTTATATTAATTACAACATTCTTATTTTAATATAAACGAAATTAACCGAGATCAAAAATGCAGTTTTTATTAAAAAAAAAAAATTAATGGTTTGGTAGAAAATTGATCAAAACACCGGAATTAATGAATTTAACTAACAATTTATTACACGGTTTTGTTCATAAAATTTAACTAACAATTTATTTCATGGTTTTGCTCATAAAATTAGACCATTTTCGTCGAGTAGCGTCAGAACAGGACACTAATATTTTTGGTAGTTTATTTCAAACTATGAATATGTAATTTTGTCGTTATATTAATTACAACATTCTTATTTTAATATAAACCAAATTAAACGAGATCAAAAATTCATGAGTTTTTATAAAAAATTATTTAATTATGGCAGAAAATTTATCAAAACATCGGTATAACTTTATTTAAAACAATTAAATTTAACTGACAGTTTATTACATGGTTTTGCTCAAAATAATGCATTAAGAACAAAAGAGGCGTTGCGATTGTGATAGTGATTATTGTGATACACGCTGTGACTGTACGTGGCGTGCGCTTGACGTCGCATAGATGTGCACACCCTACCAAAACGAGGCAAGGATTCGGGTAGCATCGCATAGCGTTGCATCGGGTAAATGTATTCCCCGCTTAAGGCTCATCAAGAATAGGCCAGGCGAGGTTGACACCCGACACTTACTATTGGGTCAAAGCCCGTAAATGTGACTGGCATGCAGAGATAGGTCGCTCGATGTGTCCCGCCTAATTGAAGGGGTTTCCTCGGCTCCAAATAGGAGGAATGCCACCCGATATGAGTGAAAATTGTGCTTACTACCTATGTTTATACGAAGTTTTTTGTTCAGCATAAAATTTCCTATAAATCCTCAACTACTTTTGTTTTGTTTGGGCCCACCGTGTATAAGTAATCTAACGGAGGATCGATGGAGTACTAATGTAGTATGAGAGGGTTGATTCATTCACGCCAATAAATACAATCACACTCGACACTCGGTAGGAACACAAAACTATCAGTATTATATGCAATAAAACAACCCTGTTTCCTAAAAAAATAAATAAATAATAATAAATAAATTTGTCGTGGTCTTGTTTATGGGTCATGGTTGTTCGTAGGGTTTCCATTTTCAGTTTTTATCCACCAGCATTCTTTAGGAAAATTTGCAGTGTTTAATAGTTGATTTTTTTTCTAATTTAATTTTGTTGATAGCGTTATTATAAGCTGCTATAGCTACGTTCATTTGTTATATTTTTGTTTGTTTTGCCGCTCATTCTAAGATCCGATAAGACGCTCTTCACATACATTCGTGGAGTAGGTTTCTATCTTTTTAGCATTGCACTTCGTTTTTATGATAATTGGATACCAACTATTAAACATATTTTCATAGAAAAGGTCCAAAACTTCCCAAATGCGGCGTTAGCACTTTCAGAGCATTTAGAAGAAAATTTAGGATTTATTTCATTAATTTTTATTTCACGCTTTTTTTACATAGAATTTCGCCACGATTTGTTTGTAAATTTAATGTTTGACATAAGACCTATATGATCAGAACTTACGTTAAAAATTACATGCTTTCGTGGTACCTCTTTGGATCTAAATAAATTGTCTATATCACGCTAAAGGCCTTTTTTAAGACATTTATAATTCTTAATATTTGCACATAGCAAGATAATGAAAGTATAAGTACATAACAGCCATTTTTTATTATTTATTAATTGCCTTTGTGATTTTCGAACTTCTTCTGCTTAAGTAATCGTTTTCCATTTTTCTAAATTACGAGTTTATTCGTCTATCGGGCTAATTAGGAATCGTACAGAAAAAAAGAATAAAATAAAGTTTTTGCACTTTTGTTAATAGCTTTCTTCTTTTTGAAGTTGCAGAAATGAACGTTCCATTTACCAAGGATCAAGTAACTAGGAAACTGGGCTGATCTGTCTCTTCTTTCTTTTGATTTATCAGCATGTATGCTCCTTACATAGTTCTGCAATAAATACGTCTAATTTAAAATTAATAAATGGTATATATCTAGATAGGATCAGTTGAAAAGGTATTATGTTCATCTTACAAAAAAAA